CTATGACAACGTTTTTCGCGCGTTGTCATAATTAATTTTTGTTGTAGTGGTTGGTTTCTGATCCTATTGTTCTAGAATCTACCAATATGTCCAACTCATTTTTTCTTTGGCAAATACAAATCCCCTTCTCCGATCTTGCTGCCTCTATATCGAGAAAATACTTCAATATCCCCAGGTCTTTGATTTTGAATCTGTCATTAAGAGAGGCTTTAAGAGATGAGATGATATTCATGTCATCGCCAGCTACTATAATGTCGTCCACATAAACTAAAACTACATTGAAGTAGTCTTTGATGGCTCTTGTGAATAAGCTATAGTCTGCATTTGATTGTTGAAAGCCTTGTTGAACAATAAAATCAGATTTCCATTGTCATGAAACTTGCTTTAAGCCGTACTAACTTTTATTAAGGTTACAAACCTCTACGGCTTTACTCGGCCCTCCTTAGAATACCTTTATGGCATTTCTACATATACTTCCTCCTTCAGATCTCCATGTAAGAATGCATTATTTACATCTAACTGATGCAAATAATTTGTAATCTTCATGAATGCACAATCCATGCATTTGTTCTTTCTTCTCAGTTCTCATTAATTTGCAATCTGAATTCTGATCAATTCAGTTGGCTATAAATGATAAGATTAGTGAGAAGGTAGTTCACAAGGCATCATTCTTTGCCTTTTTCAGAACTATTTTTACAGAATAATTAATAATGCATCAGAGATTCTTTGTCTCTTTCAACATTACTTTTTGCAAGAAATTTTTTTTACAGACTTCTAGGTTTGTTTTGAGGCCTCTTAAAAGTTGAGGCTTTAGGCCATTGCCTAGTTGGCTTTGGTTTAGGGCCGGCCCAGTATGTAGTGTTGTGAATATGCATTGTTATCTTAAAAGTCTAAAACAACTTTAGATAAATCTTAAATATTTAATGTAAAATAATATATATTTTTTGCAATAAACATATAATTATTACTATGCGATGACAATTTCCTTAAGAAGGGACCTAGAAAATTATAATTTATTACAATGTAAAGTTTATACTCATTTACAAATGACCCAAGTTGGCCAAAAAATTTATGACTACATGAAAATTATTCCTACATAGAATATCATTATAGAGAGGTTTTACTGTATTAAACTAATAGATTTTGTAAGCACTACAACAAAAATGGTCTTTTGCAACATTTATTAATTGAGTATTGCTAAACGGTCTATCGCAACATTCTAATAAGTGTGTTGTCATTGAGTAATGTAATTGAGATCTGGCAACATTCTAATTCTTTTCTTACCACTAAATAAACTTTTATTACAATCTTTAATGATCTTTTGTCTTAAATACTGTAGTACGACCATGAAGGTTTTCAAGATTGATTTCGTCTTGTTGCTGCTTAAAATTCCGTTCAAAAGCTATTGGCGATATATAAATTCCTTTTCAAATCTTCCTTGTTAATGCCTTTTCCATATATGCTTAGTTATACATACAAGAATCAGTCGTAAATTTATTAAAAAATTATCTAAAAATGTAAAAAATTTATTGTCATTTCAAAAAAAAAAAAAAAAAA